TTTTCTTTTCGGATTTTTGCGTATTGACTTCCGCTGAGCCTTTTTCGATAATCACTCATTTTAAAACTTAAAAATATCATTACTCTGCAGGCTCTTACAATAAACGATACACAACAATAGTAACAAAAGAAAGAAAAGGGTTATTTCCAGATCCGTCTTCTCGAACTAACACAAGAAGTAATAGATGTCGCTACTTTCTATTTAGCGCAATATGAATGCATGGCGAAATTCGTCAGCGCTTTCTGATTGGCTAATTCAAACTCCTTACTCCAAAGAATGTAATTCTTTCGCCTCAATCAACCTATCAGAAGTCGTTGGCGATTTTTTCATGTATTCTGTAACATTGAAAATGTCCCCATTTGAAATTCAATCTTAATTTATAAATCAAAGGTTGAGGGGGCGGCTTTAGTCTCGTGTAAATCATTGTTAAAATAAAAATTTGATTTATGATGTTATAGTTTATGGAGAACCTAAATTTGTTTTAGAAAATATCAATAATATTTTGCGCCTTTGAGAATTTGCCGCCCTTGAAATTTTGCCACTGTAGGCACGTGCCTACTGTGCCTATGCGTAAATCCACCTCTGTTCCTAATAAGGTAATTCATTAAACAAAACTTATATTGCGTTGTACAACTCGGGATAATTCTGGATCAACATAATTAAATTGGACGCATTCATGAACGCTCCACACATTTCACATAACCTCACAACTGAAACTGCTCGAAGGCCGTCTGAATGTCCAGATCTTCCCTTCGGACTTTTTGCAAACGGCGGAAGGTGCCTATCGTCCCGTTCTCGTACGTGCCGACCGGGTGCGCGCACCCTTGCGGAATTCAATGTAATCAACTTTCAACACAAATCGTCGTCGATAAAATTAATATTACTTTCCTTTTGGATGCTCGGTATAGTCTCTAATTGTATAGAAACAGTTGTGCAGCAGAAAATATTTTACTTAGGACCTTAACTTTTGTATCGAATTTAATCGTTTAATGTCATTTGGCAATGTGTAAAATAATATACATGCATTGTGTGTAAAGTTTTTGTAGTTGTTGATACTGTCACCTCATGAACGTTGTAGTCATAGATATCAGCGTTTGCTGAAAATATATTCCCGCCCTTAAGTAAGTCATTTTTGCAAAAACACTGATTTATATATCAAGAGACAAGGTAATGGTAAGATACCTAGATTAATAAAGATAGGCTTACGAGGATCACGTGGGATTTGCTTATTATTCGTACAATTCTTTTTTGTAATCTAAAATTCTGGGAGCTATAAGATATATTTCCCCAGAATATTATGTCATATCTCAGGCGGAAACTTCTGATTCGCGAAATATACACAACGAGCAGAATGGAGGCTGACTGAATTTGAAAGAATTCTGACACAGTATCATAAAAAACTAAATTTAGCGTTCAATTCATTTAAATGGATGTTCCATTAAAGATTTAACAGAATTAAAAGACACTAAACATTTTGTTACCTTAACATTAGTCCTAGCCACCGTTAATTTTCAATGGAGTACAGAGCTGTTCATTTTAAATGGAAAACTGCATTGAAACCGTTTTCTTTTCATTTACTATTAATTTGTTGTTGCGGAAGTAATTTGAAATATCTGATGTACTATTTACGGTTTCTTTATTGCATGGGTGCAATAACCTGTTGGCATATGGACCGCCAAATTAATTCAAATTTGGCGTCACACTTCGAACAGCTCAGTTTCGCTGCTCTTTGAAGACGTTTTAAAAGAAAATATCATTCATTTTAAACTTCAGCAGTTTTCCGTGAAAATGAACTCAAAATTCCGCATTATCAGAAATACTAACACCATTTTTCAAATAACAGCTCCAAATTTTTTCTTCAAAGTTTTCCAACAGATAGTGCTAACTGCACTGTTGAAGATGACATAGAGTTTATTTTGCTGTATTCATTTGTTATTTTTTCAAAAATTACACAAATGTATTTTTTATAAGATCTCTCATGCCTTTAACAAGCACATTTCCAGCAATTTGTAAACACTCTTGCATTTATGACTAGAAGTCCTTGAAACCTCATATGAAGTTTTTCGAAAACGCAACAGTTTTCTGTGAAAAGAATTTCAAATTTCGAATTTACAGTAATGCTAAAATGCCATTTTCTTAATAACGGCTCCATTTTTTAAAATGAAAATTGCTATATACGACGAGGTTTTACCGTTCTTCAATATTTTTAAAGTAATGATTCGATTTTATCATTAAGAAGTCGAAAAAATAAAAAAAATGAAAAAAATCTCTGGGTGGGGGTAGATCGCAGCTGGCAAGAGTATATGGCAAGTCCGAATAGCTAGCCGAGTCCAACGGAAATATAAAAGTAATACGAGAAAGTCTGTGCCATTCTGTAGCACCACTAGTTTCTACTCGTATTAATGGGTTACCACTCATATGTTTTGTAGGAGCTGCCTTAGCATCCGCCATTATAAAATGATAAGGTACGCACAAAAAATAAGATTATTAAAAGTTGCTACGACAATCTTGCCGCAAGTGAAGAGAACTGATTGTTCAATTGATCTCGGAGCCCAACGAACGCTACGCTTGGAATATTTGTTATAAGTCAACCGCCTATAAAACTCAGCACCGGATGACGAGTATAAGGTTTCTTCACCACCATTATTCGACGCCTTCGCCTTACCTGTATTTCAGAACAGTGGTCCTATTCAAAGTCTTCAGTAACCGTTTTCTGAATTTTACAACTGTTTTTCTTTCGCTATATTCCTTCTTGTACTTTTAAACTTGCACTTAAACAAGGAAAGGTATAATTCCGACCAGAACTATTTTCAGACGCGAAGCATTACACGTTACACACACACTCGCAAATCCAAGCAACCAATGAGAGGCTGCATTAAGCACATGTATTTGTTAAAATCAGGATCATTCTAAGTCTGAACAGACTTTAGACATGTGATTCGACAAAAGATGTCTTTCATCATGTATTGTTCAATTACGGGCAAACAGGCGTCCGAAAAGAAAAAAACAATTCTGTGTCATGGAGGTTCAAAATGTATAATTTCATTAAAATCACATTGATTTTCTGTAACACTTCATAACTCTCTCTAAGCTTCTATAGAAATGACAATGTTTGGCAAAAAAGTGTTGTGTGGCAACCTCTGCTGTATGCGTAAGCGATTCCTAATGAATTACTATTTAATATTATTACTATTTAATAGCAGGTTGCCGAACTACTACAATTGGGTTTTATTTCTTGGCGCATGAGGGTCTGTCTTCATAATAATAATAATAATAATAATAATAATAATAATAATAATAATAATAATAATAATAATAATGATAATAATAATATATTTGTCACTTAAATTCAGCATAAGCCATAATCATACACTGTACAATACAGGTATTTCTAAAAATTAAATACAATACAGAAACTAAAATTCAACTCAATTCTCGTACTAAATACAATATATTTAAATAGTTTTATAAATAATCGTGTAAGAAAACTAAAATTGAAAAAAATAATAATAAAAAAGAAAGAAACAAAAAAGAGTAAATATGTTGTCTTCATGATTGGGCTGGGTCCGTCCTTTATATCCAACAACCAGTTTGGGGGGTTTCAATGCATGCAACAGATATGCAAAAATTATTAGTTCTACTTTATATTGATGTAGATACGTATTTATGATGTATATAGTTTTTTGTACTGCAGAATATATGGTTTAACAGGAAAGCTTCCAGTTTATTTTTGAATGTATTTTGAGTTGAAGATTTTAAATTCGCTAGGGAGTTTGTTATATGGTGTAATGACTTTTATAAGAGTACTTTTTTGAAAGAGTGAAGCAGGAGTGAAGTTTCACTGAGTGGGACTCGCACATTTATTTTTTGTTTAATATCTAGTATAATAGGGAAAGTGAAGCCGGGTGTGCCATGTAAGTAGATTTACTGCATGTAAAAATCATGAAACCGAAATGAAGCCTCTGAGCTAAATTCAAATCGCCTGTTTCGTCGCTCGAGTGATAGCTTCTTTCTCCGCTAGTGGGGGAAAGGAGCGGAGCGAAATTTGAATGGTCAGACGGAGCGGGCATGTTGGCCCGGGTCTCGCTACGTAAAATAAGGCATAAAGACACTGAATTCAATAGTTATGAACACCTGTGTTTAAGAGTAACAGAATCCTTTTTTCCCAGAAGTGTCTTCTTTGTGAAGATTAAGATCACAATTATTTATTTCTTAATCTAATATATACATTTATACATATCAGTTGCCGTCTGGCTTAGTGAAAAATTCTTACTTCTATGAGTAATAGACATATATTTTTTATAATACAAATGAAATATGTATTATAAATTATATATGTATAAATATATATAATAAAATATGTATTATCATTTGAAATATGTATTATCCGCGCACATTTTCTTGAGCCCTCGCTTCGTTGGTTGCGAGGGGAGAGGGGAGTTTATTTTTTTTCACAAAAGGAATTGTGTACCAAAGTGATTCGTTCGCTTTTGGAAGCAAAATAATTTCTAGTACATGGGAGAGAAAATTTCTGGTTATCAGTTTTTGTCTACAACGCTCGTTGTTATTATTTATTCTTAAATCATCTAATGTTATCAAAGGAGTGGGGGGTAGATATTCTGGGGCTGAAGAAAACGTGCGTGTATAATACGTGCATGGGAGTGGTAGTATTTGTAATTTTTGAACAGTGGTTTGGTAGTATAATAGATTAACACCATGGTAGTATTATGAAATTAAGGATGAAATACCTCACGGCATTTTGTGTCTTTCTCGGTCGTGCCGCTTGATGCCGCATGATCGCCTGCACCGCCCGATACGGTCGCGATTATGGGACATCATAGCGGCACAACAGAGAAATGCCGTAGTATATTCAATCTTGAGGATAGACCCTTACGCGCCAAGAAATACAATCCCAAGTTTAAAAGTCACGTGTTCTTGACATCTCTAGGAGTAAGTAAATCAGTTCGAAAACAAAATCGTTTTACGTTCAGCTTGGCAACACTGAATTGTTTGTTCCAAGCAAGTTAAGTTCAGGAGGTCCAGTTAGGATTCCGTCTGTGGTCTGGTGTTTGGCTTTGTTTTATTTAAGTTATTATTGCACATCAAATTAATGGAATGACAATTTTCCGGGGTATACGTTTTTTCTGGTATTCTGAAGTCGTTTCCGTCGACGTGTTTCTTGTATGTTGATTTCTTACTGCAGTTTTCTTTCACTGAACTGGCGAATGTCCTTGACGTTTTGCCGGAGAGTAAAGACATGAGATCAAGAGGACCGTGCTTCCCACAATCATGGCTCTGTTTTTGTTGTTGTGTATTTTCACTCTTATTTCATGTTTGCACGGTAAGTACAATTTAAATTCAGATTTGATGCTCTTATCACTTCGTTGCATCAGTTCTGTTATTTTTTGACGTAAGTGCGACGTATCTCACTGTCAAATCGTTTTATTTTATGAGAGGATGTTATTTATCTCTACTAATCTTTCAAATAAACTATATTTAGATATTTGCAAATGTGAATTGACATATCTATAAAATGTGATCTCTTGCATATTATTTTTCAGTCTTAAGAATCAATTCTGTTATATTTAAGAGATTTTGTAATCATCATGACATTGTACTTTTAGGTGTTTTTAAATGTGTTCAATTTTATATACAGGATCTGAAGATGTCAAGCAGGGAAGCAACATCTTAACTGTGTATCCTGTAACTGCTGCAGGACAATTGGTTCGTCGAATGGATGAGACTCTGAATTTGACTTGTTCTGTCACAGGAAACAGCTCACACATGAGCAAATTTAAAATTACCTGGCAAATGCCGTATAATTCCAAAAATAGGTAAATTGACATTAAATAAATACAAATTATAGCTTCTTTTTCTTTTACTGAATGAAAGACTCAACGCTTTTTCTTTTACTTAATGAAAGACTTAACGTATTCAAACACTAGAAACATGCCAAAAGTACAAAATATATAATTTGTAATGAAATTTCTCACCCATCTATACAATCTTAAAAAACAGAAAAGCAGCTAAATTTCAACCATGGAGAATTTTATTGAAATAATCAGTATTAAAATAATTAAAACTTCGCTTTTAAATTTATTTTCAAGAATTACTTCATTTGCCTTTAATTTCATTAAAAAGCGTTCCAGTTGTTACTGATAAAAATCTGTTAAAACACTGAAGTGGGAAGAGTTCAAATGTAGAACTTTCTTATTTAATTTTTATTTTTTCATGTTTATATTATGATGATATTTGTAATATGTTTTTATTATGAGAAAATGTTAATGATATTGTTTTCTGTGTAGCAAGAGCCGTGTTTTCACAGTGCAGGAACATAATAAGTTAACATTATTAGTACAAAATCTTCAAGAGAGTGACACTGGAGATTATAAATGCCAGGCAGTTGATAACAATCAAACTACCCTTCAAGAAGTGGTACGAGTTAATGTCAAAAGAAGTAAGTTTATTGTATTTGTTTTTAACCTTTTTTTATTTTCTTGTCGTTTTGCGTTCTGCAGTTAAAAATGTATTTATTATTTTATTAAAAAAATATGTTTAAATTGAGTTATCAATAAAATGCGATAAGAATTTACATTTCAGTAGTAATCCATTAGTGAACAAATTATACTAGTTTTGATTTCATGATTATGTGTGTGAGAATATTTTACAAATTCTTTGCCATTGTGCATAACAATATAAATTTCAGAAGATGATATCATACATTTCATTCGCTGTCAGGTAGCGACTGGCGCAATCTGAGGGGCAGGACTTACGGGCTGCAGTCTTAACTTATTCACAAATATAGTTTTTTCTGATTTTATGTTGTAACATAAATCATTCACTATCTCCGTATACGCTAGGTAATCAAAAGTATCCGGGCATGTAGCTGAAAATGATTTACCAGTTTGTGGCATCCTCTATCGGTAGTGCTGGAATTCAATAGCTTGTTTGCCCACCCTTAGCCTTGATGGCAGCTTCCACTCTCACTCACATTCTTTCAATCACTTGCTGTAAGGTTTGGGGAATAACAGCCCATTCTTCAAGGAGTGGTGCATGGAGGAGAGGTATTGATGTACATAGGTGAGACCTTGCACAAAGTCAGCGTTTCAAAACATCCCAAAGATGTGTGATAGGATTCAGGTCGGGACTCTGTGCAGACCAGTCCATTAGAAGGATGGTATTGTTGTACCTCTCCCCCACAAGCTGTGCAGAATAAACGTGTTGAAAGATGCAATCACCATCCCTAAATTGCTCTTCAACAGTAGGAAGCAAGAAGGCGTTTATAACAACGTGCCTGTGCCATGATAGTGCCACACAAAACAAGGGGTGCAAGCCCTCTCCCTGAAAAACACAACCACACCATAACACCACCGCCTCCGAATTTCACTGTTGTTACTACACACGCTGGCAGATGATGTTCTCCGGGCATTCACCACACCCACATCCTGCCATTGGATCGCCACATTTTGTACTGTGATTTATCACTCCACGCCACATATTTCCATTGCTCAGTGGTCCAATTTTTACACCCCTTAAACCAAACAAGGTGTCTTTTGGCATTTACCTTCATAATGTGCGACTTATGAGCAGTGGCTCGACCATGAAATCTAAGTTTTCTCACATCCCAAGCTGTCATAGTACTTGGAGTGGATCCTGATGCAGTTTGGAATTTCTGTGTGATGGTCTGGATAGATGTCTGCCTATTACACGTAACGACCATCTTCAACTCTCAGTGGTCTCTCTCAGTCAACAGACTTGGCCTGTATGCTTTTGTGCCATACGTCATGTTTCCTCTTCACTATCACATTAGAAACTGGCCCAAGGGATGTTTAGGGGCACAGAAATCTCGCTTACAAACTTCTGACACGTGTGACCTTCAATTACCTGATCATGTTCGAAGTCCGAGAGTTTTGCCAAGCGCCTCATTCTGCTCTCTCATGATGTCTAATGACTACTGCGGTTGCTGATATGGTGTACAGTAGGTGGCATCACAGTACTTTTGATCATGTAGTGTATATTGTAAATAATTATCAATCATAAAATAAAAATAAATTTTAAATTAAAATAAATTTTTATTTGGAAACATTAAATCAAATGAGCATCCTGAGTCCCGAGATAATATTTTGGATTTTTGGCTCGTATTGCTTTTTAGAAGTTATAATAATTCTTGGAGTTTGGGGAAAATAGTAAAAATAATCTTGATTATTTCAATTTTTTTGTAAATTGAAGTCTGATATTATATACTTTTGGTCTCTATGAGGTCAATGAACTACTTTACCCAGATGTTTTCATTGTTGATTACCGTTACAGTGGAATAAAGAGGATTTTTATGATAATGTGACGAATCACCCTCTTTTAGGGAGGACAGCCCTCCTTTTTTAGGTCCTGACGGTCCTCGAAAAGTTCCTCTTACCTGCCTCCCTTTAAGATATTTTAAGACTAATCTGTTAATTTCAGTGTTCAAAGATATTGCTGCAAACTATTATGCGTCCGTGTGACAGTACAGTTCGGAAAGACACAATAAGGTTGTCAGATCAGTGGGATTCCTGCTGTTTTCAGCACATTTTCAACTCGTACCATGGAAAAAAAGTAGTTTCGCGGCCATGAAAAATATGATGGAAAATAATTAAGATGGAGGAATGTAACTGGAAAAATACTTTTTTATTTACATAATTAAAAGGGTTAGGTGCATGATTAGTGTATTTTTGTTTGAATTAATACAATTTTACATTTATTTATGTTGTACTTTTTTCTCAAATATTTTTGTTCTTTTAATTATTAAAAAAAGTGGTCACCTTAATAATAGGAGTCAGCATATGTATATTATTATTGTTTAATTTGTAAACATTAGATTATACTAATAAAATAAATTATGTATGAAATTTGGTAAATCAGTTTCAATCAGCATTCAAACATACGAAAACATTGCATGAATGCATTTAACTCTGCAAAGTTTTTTGCATCCTTTTTGGCTCTTTTGACAAACTTTTGTCTACATAATTTCTGGTATATACATCAATTGGTTTCTTTCCCTTAAAGGTGCAAGTGGCTATAGTTCTCATTCATAGGGAGCTGCGAAATGTTCTCATGCTTGTCATCTTCTTAGCATATTTCTTTCTGGATTGTTCTGGAATGATGTAAACTCTTTTTCCCCAGCAACATTTTAAATGCTCTCAATTGTAAAATTTTCTCTTTCAGTGTCTTTTTCAACTTCCATCATTTTTATATTGCATCCACATATTACATACTGATACATAGAGTGACTGAATGTTCTCACTGTCCGTTTCTTTGTCCTCGCTCTCATTGGGCAGTACGAATTTGATCTATCTACCATAACCACTCTGCCGATGTTATTATTGTGACTGTTTACATGTGATCTATGACTGTGTCTCGTGTCTTTCTTGGACCATCGCTTGCATCTATCTTATGGGGAAATTTTGTGGGCTTTGAACAGAATTAATGCACATTTATTGTCCATCCACTTTATTACAACTAACTTGCATTCACTTCTGACTATTATATGACTCGGTCCATACCCCCTCCCCCTTCCGTCCCTGCTCCTCCAGATAGTAATTTTTAGCTGAGTGTGGTTTCACTTCTTTTCTCAAGCGATTTGCCAGTTACTTTGTACTCCCCTAAAGATGAATTTTCTTCAGAAAAAGTGGTTTTAACTTGATAGTAAATAAAATCATACAGTACCATGCCACGAGGACTTACAAGTTCAAATACTTTAATTCTAACAGAATTAGTTTTCCCACTAACATACTGAAACAACGGTTTCCTTAGAAAAATATTTTCATCTACATGCACATTCAGTTTTCGAGGTTGTTTTATGCAGATTTGTCTCACTCTTTTGAGAAATAAGCGTACTTTCCATAGACATCATTTTTCTCTTACATCAGAATTTATGCTATTCTCAAAAACTACTTTTAAAGACTTTCTAATCTGAAACTATCTGTCTCTAGTCATGGAATCTGCTATTAAAGGAATTCTTCGTTCTGCCTGCCATTGGGTACTGCGGACAAGACGTTACCATTGTATCTCCCAACCAAGTTGCTATTTCCTTTGGCGTAGTGTTCAGTGATTTACCATAAATTAAGTGTAAGTTTCATTGGATTTATCATAAAATATTTTCAATGTTTCATTGTCAACATATTGCCTAAAATAAGTCATTATCAATTTATTGTACAAACACAAGCACAGGGCTGGAGTACTGTTTGTGACGGTGTGTCTTCATAAGTCTCAACCTCAGGCAAAGCAGTCTTGGAAATCGAAAATTCCTGACGTTCTCTAACAGTTGGTAATTGTTGTTGCTTTCACATTCTAGCAACCCCCTGCTAACATTTGTATCCCTTGTAGGATGGATGTTGGTTTTAGTTGCAAATTTCAATCTCATGTTCATTAGAATCTGCTGAACGAGTCGTTTACAAAAGTAGACCTTTGTATTATGAATAATTCCTAGTCTAGTGGCTGTAGTACAGAATTGCAGGTGAGAGGGAGGAATTCAATATTTATATTTTCCAACCTGCAGTTTACTTTATGAGCAGAATAATTATCTGTCAACAACTGGATTTTTCTTTTCTGTTTTCCAATATCTCTGTCCGGCTCAGGAAGCCAGTCTGCAAACAGTTCTTTGGTCATCTATGCTTTCATATTGGCTATATAGTTTACTGGCAGAGATGCTACACCTTTGAAACATCTTATCTTTATGCTAAGTCCTACTACCATAGGCTTCAATTTTTCAGTACCAGTGGCATTACAACAAAATAATGCTATTAATCTTTCTTTTGGCTTTTTTCCACCTACACACTTTTCTCCCTTGTAAGACATTTTATTCTGCAACATATGATGTTAAAATGCAGTTTTATCTGTATTGAAAATATCTTTAGGATCATACTTATCAATTATATTTTTCAGATGATGCTCCTTCCACTTTTGAGCAGCATACATGTCAGCATCTGTAGTTTCCATAACAGCAAACTTCCAAGTTATGACATATCGCTCGTGAAAACGGAACAGCCAGCCAGCACTTGCCTGAAAATTCTCAACATCCATTAGTGCTGCAAATTGATTGCTTTTTCTTGTATCATTGATCCAGAAACAGGAACTGCACTACATCCAACTTCTTCAAGCACGTGTCTACTGGCTCTTCCACTTTATGAAAATCCCCTAAAACTTTCGATCAGGGCATATTGCCGATTGTTCATACATTTTTAGAATTTTTTCTCTGCTTTTTAAAATTGTTGAAACTGAAGTTGGCATCACATGTGCTACATTGACATGCTTTATTCCACTATTTATTTTTTTATTATCTTCACTTTCTGTTCTATTGTAACCTGCCTCCTTTTCTTACTTTCCATTGTAACCAAATCGGGTCATAATTTTTATAAATACTTCCACTAACCACCACAAAATGCACTTAAAAAAACTGAAACCATCACAACACGATTAATTGCAATCTAAGGGTTCGCTACAATTACCAAGACATGAAATGAATTTCCAGAAGATTGTAATATTCAAAATTGGAAAAGTTGGTATTCCTTATCACATGATACAGAAATAACGACTACTGCTTCTACTTTTTAGTTTGCTGTGAACACAGCAAACTAGGTCTTGGTCTTCACAAATTTGGTAGACGTGTGGAATTAATGTGTTAATCAATGCATATTGCAAACAGTGGACCTAACCATAAGGGAAATGTCATGAAATACATATTCCAGAAAATCTGGGAACAGCAAATTCAAAAGGAATGAAATATATATAATAAAATAATAATAATCCATATACTTTCACTACATAATACCGAAAGAGGTCTGAGTAATGGGTTTGTAAAAGTGAAGTATCTTTACATTAGAACAGGACATTTAAACAGGGATTTCAAATATGTACATAAAACTGAAAAATACTAAATCCTGAGATTTCACTGTACCAAATTGACTATGAAATTCAACTTGTTCTCTTCCGTTATTGAAATTTAAGTCTCTTTCAGTGACATTCAGATTTAATTTTTAATATTTAGTATATGACAGAATATAAAGTAATTCACTCTTTGTCCTATTTTGTGGATCAAGCAGTGTTCCAACATTATTTTCCCCTCTTTCTGAAGCAAATTTAGAATAATGCAGTAAATTATTTTATCTTCTCATTTAAGCACATCTGCTGTATCAATAAATTTGGTTGTTCCATTCTCCATGCTTTTCAATTCTTTGTACACTTCTTTTTGAGTGTGGAAAAGATCTAACAAATCTATAGAGTCCATTGTCATCATGTTTCAATAGTCCTGTGGGTGCTTAAGTGAGGCAATGAAGAATAGAAATCCTGAATTCTTCTGCACTTTTATCATTTCTTTACATTACATTAAAGCCAAGTAATTATTATTTTTATATTTTTAGCTTTCGTTATTTTTCTTGGGATTTTCTGACTCCAGGTTTCAGGGACTTTCCCTTAACCTTTAGGTGTTCCTAGCTTCACATATTTAAAACCTTGTAAACAATCCAGTAGGTTTCATGAATGACTTTTGAAATAATTTTGTCAGGAGGAAGACCTTTTTCCAAATAATTCAGATATTTGTTAACTAGACTAGTTGTTATTACAATTGGCATGACCTTCACAGAAAGTTGTATAAAGTTTCTGCTTTATTGCAGTTGTGCTTCATAGGGTGTTTACTATTAATGATGAATTCTTTTTTTTACTGGACGATATGTAATAGAATGTCTGGTTTATTTGCTGTCTGTTTTATCATATGTATTGGAAGGTCATAATACATTTTGAAGTGGTTACGTTCTGTGATTGGTTTAGCTTTGTATTGTTAATACGAGATTATTTCTTCTTCTGCCTGAAACTCATGGTTGGTTGTCAGTGCTTGGTGTACAATATTTGCAGTCAGGGTGTACAGGTGTAGGTACCTTGTGTTGGTGAGATTTGAATACCCAGTGATCAGGTGATATTTTGTCTGATAATCAATGACATACTCCACACTCTTCATTAACATTTAGTTTTTCAATAAATCTGTTGTAGTTATTAGTTGAAATAATTTGGGCTTGAATTGCTTGAATGAAGCCCTCAGTCTCTCCATATAGTGTGTCCTATTTCTGAGCCACTGCACTGAAGCATCATTGTTGGCACTTTCAAGAGCATGGGGAAATCTACCATGGAGAGACTTGGACATTCATATCTGTAATCTTTCTGTGACATGATATGAGAGTAGTATGCATTGTTGCTAAGATTAAGGGGGCATAACCTTTGTCTCATAATACTATTGCTTTAAGTAGAGGCAACAGTTCAGATTGCATTATGAAGTACTTTTTCAAACCTGTTAACAAGCAATTGCATAATGCTTTCAGATCAAGTAGATCATGAAGAGGCTTACACTGAGCAATATGAAAGATACGTACAGATATAAAGAAAACTTTTCCATCAAAAGGTCAGCTTTTCAAAGTCTGAATTAAGATCGAAAAGGCATTTTTCCAGGAGCCTACTGTACACATACAGTATGTGTATGTGCATAACATGAAAACATGAATTTAATGTTTTATGGAGGAAGCTTTGCAAAGTTAAAAACAGATGATAATGCATTGAAGGATTATTGGGACTGCCTAACAAAATTTATTTATGGCCCTCCTGGAACTACTTAAATTTTGCCGGAAGAGTTTTGGCAAAAAGCAATGGATTCACAATACGTATTTTGGAAATTTTAGTGTCACCTGTGAAGGAATTCCTAGAAAAATTTTACACTGAAATAAAAACATTAACAACTCACAGAATTTTAGCTCAAGAACGAGCTCCCTTCCTAACTCAGTGCAAAGATAATTTAGGGGATCAAGAAATTATTATTTTCTGATATTTTTCATTATTCAGGATCCTGTGCAAGGTGTGCACTAGAATAATGATCAAGCATCAATACCCTTTTATTGTGTATTACAGAGCAAATGGCATTGGGATGCATAATGTGTGTGAATAGTGCCCCCCTCTCCATTCTGGAGATTTACTATTGAAGAACCTCTTTGAGAAATTCCCCGTTTGTTGATATCAGGCTAGTATGAAGCTCAACATTGTTCTCAAATTTCTCGTTAGGTTTACTTTGGGAAAGTAACAGCTGTAGCTCACTTCCACTCAGACGAACCCGAACTTCGCTTGAACCCTAAGCTTTTTGTTGAAAATTATTATGGCTGCTCTTCTTGAGGAGTCGTGGTGCCATGTGGCCTCGTCTGATGTATAATACTCTGTTTGCTGACTAGTACAGAACTTTCGGCATTCTACCACCTTAGGGTGACATTTGTTTTTCATCATGCCAATTTCTTTTATAGCTTTAGCCAATGTCTTTTCCACTGTGGGATAATGCCGTAATAAATTGCTCCCATCCACACTCAAAATACAGGCTATGTTTTCTATTAGTTTCATGTGGGCCTTTTGCAGCTGTTCCATGCAATTCCATTTATCCCACAACAGGTCCGTAACTGTTCCTGGTTTTGCTTCTTTAGAGATACTGTCAGAGTTTCTTGTCCTTCTTCCAGAATGGATTCCATTTGTGGCACTATCTGACATAGTTGGCAAATGGGCCATTATGCAATTGCAGTCGCTGGATTACGGCGTCCCGGAACCTGCTCGTTCATTCCTGGCCGCTGGTACTGGGTAAACGAACCCCTGCTCCGTACGGGTAGATCCTATAGGGCCTTCCATACGGGGTTTTAATTCGATGTATCCTCCTAGCATTTTCACCCAACTGCCAAGAACCATTAACATGCAACCCTAACCGGGCCAGGTAAATAATGGGAGTGGGTTTAAAAGGGAAGGAAGGAAAGACGTTGGGAAGGGGTTGAGGAGTAGAGAGTGAAAGAAATATGAAAGACTCGTCCTTGCCGTCAAAACCTAATACCATCGGGGTCAAACGAAACAGAGTTTGCCAAGGGAGGCGCAATAGGATAGTAAAGATAATCAAGCACAGGTTGAAGAAATGCTTGATACAACTTGGGGCTCCCGTGAACGCTACCCATGGACTCCTCAGGTGGGGCCACTGAGGGAATTATATTGTCAAAACCTACAGTGAGAGCACTTCATCCTGCCCTAGCAGAGATGGGCTTCAGATAAATACTTGTCTAGCAGTGAATGAGTGTACATTCGAATTCCACGTAATTATTGCGGTAAGTGAATCCTTATTGTTTTGTTTATTTTTCACAGGAAAACCTGTTTGCTCAGAGAATATGTTCCAGTGTGCCCTTCCTGGAGGGGAGTGCATTGCCAAGAGATATGTCTGTGATGGTTGGGAAGACTGCCCAGAAGGAACTGATGAAGCTCCCATTCATTGTGGTTTGTTCTTCATAATTAATTTCATATTTATTTACCTTAATTATTATTTAAATATTAGGTTAAAATAAAAATATTGAAAGGTATTTATAACTAGCAGAACCCGGCAGTCGTTGCTCCGCCATTCATCCCCCTCGTTCTCCTTCCCTCTCCCTTCCTCTCTCCATCTCCCCCTCTCTTATACATTTTTTATGTATTTCTACACACTCACACGCGCGCACACACGCATTGTTTGTCGATGGTTTTGCCATCTTTTGTTCGTCCAGCAGCATCAGTGTGATCCAGAGACAAATTCAAATGGTACTCAACAAGCTTCACGGCTGGAGCACGCCAACAGGGTTTTAATTCTGTTCTACTGAATCAACTGTGTACAGTTTTTTTGCAGAATATACCATTTGTGTAGCAATCTAGACCTTTACTTCGGAGGAAATCAACTTCCATTCGTTGAATTTGCCAGGTTCCTGCGACTCAAATTTGGCAAGTGCCTCACATGACGTGCCCGTTATTGAAGAAACCTTAAAAATTCGAAGTAAAAAATTACTCGACTACTGCAAGTGATTTTGCACGTCTCATAGTACGAAATACCCGCTGTAAACGGAACATAGATTTTTCGATAGTTGTTAGATTTCTCTATTCTCAGCAAGGTACTAACGAAAAAAGTACAATTTTTTAAAATTTTTCGTTAAAGAGAATTTCATTTTGATCAATAAATACAAGACTATGTAACATTTAAGCATTTAAACACATTAGACATTTACGAAGGTTGCTTTGTATGTTTCGGGATTTGGAAACCCTGGTGTTGCAACCTGGCAACTGACAGCTCTATCGTAAAGTTGGATGTTTTGAGGTTATACGTACTCAGAACCTTTTGACATACGAGCGCTATTTGTGTTGTTTACAGTAACTTAAAAGATTCATCTTGGCCCAAAAATGGAATTAAATCGTGAACATTTTCGTGCGATTATTTTTTACAACTTTCGACGTGGATTAACTCAGCAACAGTGCATGGATGAACTTCAATTTTTGGCAATGAAGCTCCATCAAGGACCAATGTTTATCGATGGTATGGTGAATTCAATCGTGGTCGTAGTTCACTCCAAGACGAATTTCGCGAAGGTCGTCCAAAATCAGTTGTTCCGAAAACCATTGATGCTGTGCGGGAACTGATATTGCAAGATCGTCATGTGACCTTTTGTGAAATTAAGACAACCTTAGGCATTAGTGGGACCAGCATACATTCAGTATTGCATGAACATTTGACTGTCAAAAAAATTTGTCGCGTTGGATCCCACACAATTTGTCAATCTCTCAAAAAAAGGCTCGTGTCGATTGGTCGAAAGAAATGCTCAAAAATACGATCGCGGTGCTTCAAACACGTCTATGACATCCGTGACAGGTATGAATCGTGGATGTACGCGTATATCCCGAATGTCTGGCGCCGCGATGAGTAACTTACTACCGGACTGCTTACCCAAGTTGGCGATCAAACCCATCAAGCCGTAGGATTTTAAGGCCGAAAAAGCCTTCCTTTGGAGGCGTTTAAAGCCGGCCCTATGTAGTAATTTACTTGCATGTAAAAAGATCCTAAGCCCTAAATGACGCCTCTGAGCCTAAATTAAAATCAACCTGTTTCTCCAAGAAATAACCTCCTTCTCGCAGTTGGTGAAAATGAGCTAGGCAAATTTGCTGTCAGACGGAAGAGCAGGCCTTATGACATGAGTCTCGCCACCCGTAAAATTATAACATCAATTCAATTCAAAGTAAAAACCAGCAGGTCGACGGTATGGGTGTTTCAAAATGCAGCAAAATCCACAAAGTTCTTCGGGCGCACGAAGCACTTCCAACAGATGGTCGCCGCGTTTTTTCGGGAAAAAACTGACATAGTCGCAACCGTACCAGACCGTACAGAACAACGCAGAACAGTCATCTTAGTGTGACACAAACATTTTTCCCAGCTGTCTTCCAAAAATCAGGAAACTAACCGCCCGAAAAACGATCCCCGCTCTTCCACCACACAATGTGAGCTCTCACAAATCGGCCCAAACAACTGCATTATTTTGAGCACCCAAAAACATCCCATGTCTGATGAATCATCCGCCGTTAGTCCTCAACTTTGCACCGAATGACTTTTATTCCCGTAACGTAAAAAACAAACTACGAGGTCAACGTTTTTCGACACCTGAAGAAGCGGTTGCTGCATTCAGAATGCATGTTTTGGAGATACTACAATCAGAGTGGCAAAAGTGCTTCGACAATTGGTTCAAACGCATGCAAAAGTGTATTGATCTTCATGGGGAATATTTTGAAAAAAAAAAAAGAAAGAAAGTTATTTTCGATGATTAAAATTTGTCTTTGTTCTCTAATCCTGAAATATAAAAAGCAACCCTCGTATTAGTGAAATAGGCCCTTTTTAGGCAGTATAAAATTCACCTATAATGCTTCTAAAATCTCAAAATGAATAAGTAACCTAAAAGATAGCGTTTTCAATAGAAGGGGGGGGGGGATGGCAAATAGGCAAAAATCCGCAGCATATTCGTGACGTAACAGTATTATAATTTAAAGTTAGTCTGTTATTCTCGCATCCGAAAACAAGAGAATCCAAATTCAGTTGTAAATGTTGAACCCAATACTTAGTAAAACTAAACATAATTTAAACCTTTATTTTTCACTGAAGAGCGTTTTCTTTAAAATAGGGATTTAAAATGTCAGGATAGTTAATAGCCTCAATAAATCGTGCACATGTATTAAAGGCTTTATAAACATGTTCATTAGATTAAAATAGGTATTTTACCAAATATATATAATGTTTTTTCACTATTTAACTTGCACTTATAAGTTTGCACATAGATATTTCACCTAAAATTGATCTGTGCTTGTATGAGTACATGTGCATGTGTGAGGCGAGGCTACCTACTGAAAGCTAGGAAGTTGACTCACTATAGCAGTCCCCTATCCTTGTGACATCAGCAGAGTGCAGTTTCCTCACTCAGACTCTACCCCAATACATATGTGTCCTACAAATGCAAAAATTTAATCATTTCGTATGAGTGGTACCATCTGCCATTACTGCAGTCTGCTTTTACTTTTTTTCTACGATGTAATATTGTAACGCTGCAGCAGAAAGTGGCAATTTTTTGACAGAAAAACTTGTTTTTTTGTTTCCCATGTATTGAAAAAGTTGATATTCCTGCTCCTATATGTAGTGAATAACACCAACTACTGAATTACTTCCTCTAACATGTACAGACAAAATCAATGTTTTGTGGATCCTTAATACTAAAAAATTGGTTCACGTCAAAACATATGACTGCCTGTTCAACACTAGTGCGTAAACCTTTTAGAATATTGCTCCAAAATTGACGTTCGCTGATCAATTTGGCCGAGCTTGAGGCCTTGCGATGTTGAAATGTTTATTTTTTATTTTGAGGGCTACACTACATAAAGCCTCAACATATTCAAAATTTACTCAAAAACGGCTCCCATTTTTTTCTTGAATTTTTTCTCAAATACAGGAAAAGTACTTTTAATAAAAATGATACAATTCTCTGAATTTTTGAAAATTGCAAAAGTTACTAATAATGAAAGATAGTATGTGCTGCCGTACCCCCACTAATTTCCTTCTGAATGCATCATTTTTATGACATATATTTATTATTAATTACGTTAGCAGTACAGAGTACACAGCAATGCAGCTGTACCTACAATTTATAGGTACTCTATAGTAAAACACTAGGATGACACCTTATGACACTTGATTTTAATTTTTTTTAGGTCGTGATTCGTGTGAAGGTAAATTGAGGTGTGACAATGGCCGCTGCATCCCTTATGAGTGGTGTTGTGATGATTACATTGATCCAAATTGCACTGTGAAAGTTCGATTACCATGTTGTCGTAAACTTATAACAGGTAAGTTTCTGTTCTATAAGAAATGTAATAATTAAAGAGTATGATAGGTTTCAAACACCATTAATATTTACTATACTTAAATCTGTTGTTGCAAGGTAAAAGTTTTAAAGTACATATTTTTGGGTAAGGAGTTAAGACTTTTACTTTGTGATTAGAGAGTTAATAATCTTGAATTTTAATGTTGTTTTAATGAGATTCTAATACTCATATTCCATTGAAGAAAAATTTTAACTTTTAATTTTCACTCTTACTTTTCTCGGCATGTAAATTATCTCTACCTAGTTGGGGAATGGTTAGGGCTTTTGGGCCACAGTCTTACTCAAATACAAGCACTTGTCATGACATACCTCGGTGCACCAGGAAAGTCTCTTCGCAGTGTCACCATGCTGGTGAGAGTCCTAGCAACAGGAATTACATTGTTGGAAATAACAAGGTATCATGCTGTGTATAATGCCGACTATTGACTATTAAGGTATTGCAGTGCTGAATGCAAATCTGCCTATTCCGAATGCTGTTTATCTATTAGGTGACATTTGAAAGTTATTTAAAGTAACTTAATATTTTTAAAATTACCCATTTAATTTAGTAATGGCATTACAAACTAGTAAATTGGTGACATTTCTGAGTTGGTTTGCAGTTTAAATATTTGAGATATTAGCTACAAAAAATGGTGTGAACAACTTTAATCAACTTACCAATTAAAAATGTAATCCATAGGACCACTATAAAAATGTTAGGGCTGAGGATATAAGAACGTGAGAGGGCCGAGGACCAAGCTATCTTAACTTATAAGTGCAATGTCTTCTTTTGAAGATACAGATTTTTTTCCCCTGAAACTTAGTTACACAAGGGAATCTTTGATGCCGAACGTGGTTTGTCTCATTATGACAGAACTGTAATTGGCTGAAAATCCATTGCTGAAAAAATGGTCTCTTGTTCTGAGAAGAATTATCACACAGGAAACCTGTTAACAGAAACAACTGCCATGTTAACAAAGGCTCAGTACTGCAGACACTGGTCTGGTGACCACATGTTATCTCGGTTTGTGACAGCCGTTATTGCCTTAATGATCACTCTTAATTGTCTGCGTTCTTTCCCAGGCAGTAGACAACACGATTTCAGCTTTGTGTGTCTATACAGCAACAAGTGGTGACCATATGCATTTGTTTATATGCGGAGTAAAGTTAGAGCAAACAAAGAATAGATTTATAATGTGTAGCTTTAACATAGCCTGTTTTATTTTGCAGCTTGGCAATGAGGGCCCACTGTAAAGTTCTTGGGAGAATCATCCTACCATTTTGAATTTTAATTTCTTGTTGTGTCTGATAATTTCATACGTATTAATTGTGAAGCTGCTAAAATATCTGAATGCTTTTTAAGATAATTTAATGTTGGGTCTATTCTTTCACTACTTCTTTACCTTGTAGTGGAACCTCGATAATTTAAATTCCTTGATATTTCAAATATTTTGAATCCCGCTTTATTTCCATGTTAGTTTTTCCCTAGAAATAAAATATAATAAAAAGGCTAGTGTAATAATATGAGATTTTATATGCTGGGTGTAGTTTAAATTTCTATAATGTGTTTGTGTATGCCATTGAACTTCTATAGTCCAATTAGTAAGATTGAAATCCTGAAGAAGAATTGACAATGGCATTTGCCTACTGAGATTGCAAATTTTTCATAGCTCACTGTAAAATGTAAAGTAACTTGCACCACTTGCTCACCCGACAGACTGATATGAAGTGTGTGGCATCTCCCCTTCTCTAATCCCTATCATTCACCAGAAAAAATCTGAAAGAATGTGCTTGTAAATTGTGAGGTTTGATGGAATACTTTGCATGCTCCTCCAACACTTTTCATCTTCCTCCTAAAGTTGTGTGCATTGTTCATTACTGTGACTGTATTTGTGTAAATCAATTAATCACATTTAAAGTTGTAAAAAACGTGCCTTATATTTTGTCTTTCTAAACATTGAGTGTCTCCATAATTACTCCTAGAGACTGTGATTAGTTGAAGTATTTGCTTACCCAAACTTGTTTTTGTTTTCTCCTTCATTAGATTCCAGTTATCGAGGTTCCTCTGTGAAAAGAACCTTTATTTTCAAATAGATGGCTAATTGTGCATTTTTAATTAAAAATAATACTTCTGCTTTTTTGTCTTTGTGACAAAATTATCTTGCCTCGAAAACAATTTGTTTTCAGGGTGATTTTGCATTTTGTTATGAGTCCATTAAGTGAATACATTCACTGTTAAGTTTACTCGTGAATCATTAGTTTGAGTAATTGGTGCTAATTTGAACACAGAGATTCTCTATGTTGTACATAGAGATGTTCAGACACAGAGGGTCATTAAATATGTGTGTGCCTCCTGTTCCCACTGAAGGTTGTGTGCTGTGTGCTGCAGGAGACATGGATGCGGATGGGTATCCGCCCTCAGAACAGCAGCGTTTTAATGACATGGGCTTCCTGCAAACCACAATATATACAGTTATAGGTATGTCATTATTTACAAAACAAATTTTGAAAATCCATCTTAATTCCTAACTTGCCTGATGTACTACAACATGTGTTCAGAATAATGTCTTGATTTTTCATGCTGCTATGCCTGGTATTCAGTTAATTACTACTGGTGTTAGTTTACTAATGGGCTTCTCAATAAACAATAACAATTTCTCAGAACCTTCTTAACTAAACTAATCTATGCTTGGGTACTCTTATTATGTGATGTAACCATGAACTTCTGACAAGAAATCTGCATGACTGCTTTTATCAAACAAGAAACTTGATGTGCATATTATAGAATCTAAACCCATTTGTAGGTTGTTTATTTAATCTCAAAATCTTTATCAAGTGAATGAAATAATTTGTGCCCCAATAAATAGTGGCCAGTGGGTTGCAACTTGGTAGAGGCTGCATGTACGGTGGCATATTTTGTCAATTAAAAAACAGTTTGCAAGCAACAGGAGTTAAAGCCTTGTCTAAGACTACTTCTGGGTTGATAATGAAGATACAATTGGGCTCAAGAAACATATTTTGTAAAGAATATATACAATAAACCATTGTTTTCAAAATCATTAAGGGGTTGATTTTCTTAACTGATGTAATTTGGCTTGGACTGTATTGTAAAATGTTTATCTTGCTCCATTTCTACCAAATCCTCTTTTAACATTGGACATGCTCATATTCTCATAATTGTTTTACATTTTACTTTGCATTTTTCAAGAATGTTTAGCTTGGTACTCTCACAGTTAATACTGTTTTTAAAATAATGTGACTTTGACACCAGACCTTAGTTGTTGAAGTGTCCTTAATACTAGAATGCCCAGCGGCATTATTTTGTCTCCTGGTGTCTCTAAATTCCTTGCAGCTTCCTTGTTTCTATTGATAGAAATTTGCGGTTTCATGACTTCATTTTTGTTCCTTTCTGGTATGTTAAAAATAGAAATGCCTAAAAAGTGTTTTGTGCAAAATAATTCGATATACCTAGAACACCCAGGGGCTGTTGTTTTGACTCTTTGGGTTTTGACCCTATATTCTCATCAGCTTCTGTACATACATTTCAATCCTGAATATTTTCGAAGTCTTCTTAATATTTCAGATATTTTCTAAAGAGATTTCTACTTTCATCCTCTCTTATTCTGGTCTTCTTGTCAAATACGCATAACTAGTTGAATGTGATGTCGCTGATGCTGTAAACTGTTTTAAAACTTTCATGTGATGAAAATTTCTAAATGTCACATGTAGTTTCAGTCAGTTAAGTTATTACAGTCTCTGGCATTGGACATACCAATAAATCAGAGAAGCTAATGTTATATTCCCGTTGAGAAATTTCCAACACCCAATGACCTTGCACCCGTCGAGGTGGGTCGGCCCACGTTCTAATGGAGGGAGGGCTCTCAAGTATTACTTTCTTTCACCAGTCATCTGCATCTTCCCCATCGTTCATTCTCTTCTTCTTTTATAACATCCTGTCTCTTTTCTTCTACCCCTTCTATTTCACTGACTCCCTGGTTTGCAGAAAGCCCACCCATGTGGTTATCGCATGGCGACCTGTGTCGGAGGGAATGTATGTCCTGCAATTAAGGGACCTGTTAGTTTCCCAACTACTCCTTGTGCTACTTTGTACTTAGGGACACGTTTACGTATTTTGGAGAACATTCCTTATAGGTTTCCAACACACTTGCTTTAGCCTCGGTCTCTTCTAGACGGGCAGACGGGAGCTGCCCCACTCCCGATCAATCGGCTCGGACTAGGTCTTCCACTGAGCTCCAGGGTGAGCGGGGAGATCCACGGCGGGGCAGCGCTGTGACTTCTCCCTACTATATCTTCGTGTCCACTCTGGCACCCCAGTGGGGTGTCCCCTTTGTGGACGCCACGGTGGATGGGGAGCATGAAGACGAATCCACTTCAATTCTATGGAGCATAAAACAAACCCCTTGTCCTCTTCTGGAAGGAAGAGACGATGTTTGAGAGAACGGTGGATTTAAGTAGTTTCTTCTTTTGGAAAGAAGATAAGCCAAAGAAGCCATGCTTTCTTTTGAGGGAGAAGAAAAAACAATTAAAAGTATTAGTGCGGTTCATCTCGCACGAGCCTTTGAGGACAGTTTCGGTAAACACCAAGTGGTGGTGCGTCAGAGGAATGGTACCATTCTCTTCGAATGCACCGATGAGCAAATCGAAAAATATCTCAAAAACTATTGAGATTGCCGGCCTCCAGGTGGAAGTGACCACTCACCCTACCCTTAACCTATGTAAGGAAGTGGTGAATCACGATGACTGCGTCCCAAAGTGAGGAGGAACATTAAGTGTCAGGTCGTAACGGAGGTGTTTAGGATCGAGAGGCAGGAGAATGGGAGTGAGATCCCTACTCCCACTCTGATCTTGACGTTTTATCTCCCCTACTCCGGAGAGGATTAGTCGTGGGATTTATAATCTCCACGTGCGGTAGTATGTGCCAAACCCCCCATCGTTGCTTCAAGTGTCAAGAGGTTCGGCCACACACAACAGTGGTGCATGGCAGTAAGTCCTTTTTGCGCAAAGTGCGGCAAATCTACGCCCTATACGGATCCCTGTGCCTCCCCGCTTCGCTCCGTTAACTGTGAAGGAGACTATGTGGCCAACTCGAACAGACGCCCTTCATATCTGAGGGAGAGTGATATCCGAAATATCAAAGTATCGGAGAAGGTATCTATTCCCGAGGCGAAACGCCAATACTTAGTGAAGAACCATGTAGATCTCAGGCGTTCATTTTCGAGTACTCCTGCCAAGACGGCAAAAGCAACATCGAGTTGTTAGACTTAATCTGCTACTCCCCCAGTTTCTCATTTCTGTTGCCAGGCGTCTCCAGTGGACTTCCCTAAAGAGACATCGCCTCTGCAAGCTAGCAAGATAATAATTCCTTCCAAATACAAATAGGAGGAATCAAGGAAACCACACAGGCGAAGTCTGACGTAGAATCCACTTCTCTGTCCGGCATGAAGGCCGATGTCACTCAGCCTTCTGGCTCAGGCAAACTTCAAAAAGATCGTTCCTCCAAACCACCTACCCTGACTCCTAAGTCTCGCTCTGAGCGATCTCTTAGCCCGTTGAGCAGGGCTCAGAGGAATCTGCCTCGGAGGAAACTTCAGGAAACACATCTTTTTCCCCAAGCATTCCCTCTCTCCTCGTGGCTTTTGTTGCTACAGGCAAGACATTGATGATGGCCTCTGGGCACATAGTGGAATCGTTACAATTCCCGCAGACACCCTGGTGTCCAAAAAAAAAAAAAGACGTTCGAACCACTCTCCAGACATCTTGCGTTCGTGTGAACTTCCGCACTATATCGATAACTATTTGCAACGTCTGTATCCCGCCTGGCCAAGTCGCTTCGCAAGAGGAACTAGAAGATATGTTATCTCAGTTGCCAGTTTTTGTATTGCGGACGACTTTAATGCCCCCAGTCCTGCAGGGGGTGGCACTAGGGCCTGCTCGAGAGGCAATATAATTGAAAATCTTGACAACCAGAACTTAATTCTTTTGAATACTGGCGGAAGCTCACATTTTGCCGTGGCTTCAAACACACTCTCGTCCGTCGATATGGCTCTTTGTAGTCCATCTCTTTCTAACACCTTTGTGTGCGCTGTCCTTGGCGACCTGTATGGCAGTGACCTCTTCTCCATTGTGGTCAAATTCGATATTCCCGAGCCAAACGTTGCTCGCCCTCTTCGCTGGCGAATCCACTGAGCTGCGTGGGAAACAATCGAGAAAGGAATACGGATATCGGAAACCTGCCCAAACGATATCGATGCCATGGTTGCCAATTTTACTGATGCCGTTCTTCGTGCTGCCTCACTTGCCATTCCGAAGTCGTCGGGTCACCTACGATGAGGCCGTGCCATGGTGGAATGCCGACTGTACCATGGCGGTGCGTGATAAGAAATGGGCATTGGCAAAGCTTTGTAGGTTCGCAACTATGGATAATCTGATAAATTATAAAATATTACGAGCTGGAGCTAGATTGACCATAGGGCCGCGTTCTGGAGAGCTTATATTTCATCACTTGCCGTACACCCCCTAAAAGCCCATTCTCAATGTAAACGTTAACAAAAACTTAAACCATAGACGAAAACATTAACATAAGTGATGGACTGAAGTATTTACAATGTCTAACATAAACGTAAGGAAAATAAAAATTATTATTGGCTGTGAGACATTATAGTTTACTATTGGTTGGATGTAGGAATCGATTTCAAGGTATCGACTGTGCCCGTGGCCCATATGGCGTTAGTTGGTCTATCAACTTCGCACCTCTTTAGATTCTCAATTTTGAGTTACCGTACTGTGATTGGTTCATTTCTTATGTCTTACTTAAGCATAAGCACAGAAACTTGCAAGCTTTAAGCCAACGTCTAATGTGTTATGCTTATGCGAATGCATTGTGAATGGGTCCGCATATTGACGTAGTCCTAACTTTTATATTAACACCATGCATGTGTTTGGTTTGCATTGTGAATGGGCCTCAAAGTTGGGTGACGAAAGGTTGGACAGTCGGTGGAAGACTTCCCTTGCCGTCTGTCTCTGGACTTGTGGTCAATGGAAATCATCTCACCTCACCAGAAGATATAGTTGAAGAATTGGCCGCTCACTACGATCATATCTCCTACTCCATACACTACTCCCCTAGCTTTTTGAAGACCAAAAGAAGAATAGAGAACTGCAGACTTATTTCTCGTGAGTCGCGTGGAAGAAGATTACAATGTTCCTTTCTCCATGGATGAATTTTCGTGTGCCCTCACGTGTGCAAGAGATTCTGCTCCAGGACCAGACCAGATAAATAATCAAATGCTTAATCTCCAACCAGAAAATGCTCATTCTTTTCTCCTCCGCATGTTCAACTTGATTTGGCATAAACATCCCTTACCAAGAATTTGGCGTGAAGCCATTGTTATTTCAATCCGTAAAGAAGGAAAGGACAGAACAAACCCTACCGCTCAAAAGCTATGTGTGCAAGCTTTT